AATTTGTGATCAAATTAGTGAAATAGAGGAAGACAGAATTAAAGAAGTTTTCAAGGAATTGAAGTAGAAGGTAGATGGTGGAATTAGAGAAACTTTTGTATTCCAAAAGGATACCAAACAAAGAAAGCTTTTACACATACAAACACACTAATATTCCATCTGTATTTAAATCCTAACCTCTTCTTATGCCCTGTGGTCTTTTAAACCTGCTTTAAACAAGGCCAAAACTGGTGGGATGTGGTGGGTTGGGTAAAGAAATCCAAATTTATCCCAAACAAACAGATAAAAACTACAATCAAAAGTGGGAAGAAGAAATATAGAAACAATACATATGTAATGCGCTAAAATCAAGTAAACGGACGGTATCGTGACAAGTAATTAAGTGGATGTGAGTCTAAGTATCGTTCTCACTAGAACTAGTATTCAATTAGGTTTCCATTTAACACTAACTCTAATCGATAACAAAATAATATAAGAGAGAGGCTAGGTTTACCGGCGGTGGGTGACAAACACCCTGACCGGCCCCTCACATTGGGAGGGGCCCACATTTTTTTTCAATTTTTTATTCATGTGAGGCCAGCCATCATGTGAGAGTTTGTCAATTTTTTTTTGCACAAATCAGTTTTTTTATAATATAAATGATTTATATTTGTTAATTACATCTATAACTAATCTAATTATCAACCTAACACGATAATTGAAAAGCGGTTATAAATGCTTGAGTAATGGCACACTAGATCCACAAATCCTCCAATATTCATCCATTATAATATCAATTTCATTATTTGATACTTATTTAAATTTGAAGATCAATGTTCCTATTTTAATAATAATATATCCTGAATAGAATTAAACACATCCTCACGTCTGACCCTATTATATCTGTATGAAGGATGTGAAAACATGAAGATGCATTAAATTACATGAACATTCACAAGATTATGCAAAGTATAGCGGTATATTTCTATCATTTATTGAATTTTACTATGTTTTTTATTACGTACTATAATTTCTATTCCTCCTCTATAATGTAAATAAAAATCACAAATCAATTCAACTAGTCGACAAATAATTGAAAAACATTAAGGACCTAACAATCGTTCAAACCAAACAAACGTTAATGTAAAAATTTAAAATTAATATCAACATTTCATAATATAGGATTTGTCGTTGTCCTAGTGTCTGTATAATTAGTTGAGCATCATATGATATCAGTTGTGTTGAGACAACGTCACTCAGAGTTAACACGTGGAAAGAAGATAAAATACAATCTTAAAATCTTGAATCTCTTCAGTACTCCTTATCAATCTTCTTGAATCTCCTTCAAACTCTAAGTAATTGCATAAATTTTACGTAAGAATATGCCTTTTTAAAAAAACTTCTCTAAAGCTTGTAAAGAATATGTATGTTGTATCTAAAAGCTTCTCCTCAACTTCTCCCCTTGAATATGTATGTCGGGAACTACGTTGCGATTACATGGTAGTAAGTGTTGCGATGCCATACAAGAACATAGAAGTATCGAGACATCTATATGACCAAGACCTTGTCACGAGTTAGATTTGAACCAACACTTATGGGAAAGGAAATTCACTATGATTCAAGTTCATGTTATTTTACTAGCTGCACGAAGTGGTAGCGAAGCTCAAGTGGTAATGCAATTCCGCGGTGAGCATTGTAGTCCCCTATGGCATGGTATTGATATAGAGCTTGCCGGCGAACAATACACCCCTTGCGATTGCATTATAGGAGCCTTGTGAATGCAAGGTTCCCTATTTTCATCCACTATGTAGGTTCCTGAATTTTCTCCTCAGTTTAGTTCGAGTCCTTCCTTATTCGCACCATGGATCCTTCATTTTAAATATTTACACTTTGATTCTCCTCATCCACAGTCATCTGAAATTGATCATTTTCAAGTTTCAAAGTTTGCAATTAATTCTAAACTTTTCAAATGTAGGATTTATCTCCTAGAACTTGTGAGTTTACTCTGATTGCTCTCCTAGTACATGTTGATCACGTGCAATCCAATTTATTTCTACTTGCTCTGAATCAACTCCAATTATGTTCAAAATAATTACCCTGAATTTAGTTGATATCAGGTCAACTAGCAATATTTTATCAAGTTTCGATTTCCAAATAAACATGTAAAAACACTTTATCAACTAGCATTTCTTTAGACAAAACCCTCGATTTACCTATTTTTCTATATATTATGAAAAAGTTCTATTCATAGGTAATTTTTAATGCATTTCTTTAGACAAAAACGTCTTTTTTGCTTCATATTTTGAAAATCACTTTGAAGTTGATATGTAAGTAACTTTTAATGGGTTTTAAAATATTTTTACATTAAAGTTGAATAAATATCTAATCAAGAAACACCCTCATAAGTCAATCAACACAAATATCAATTTTAATCAATATACTCAGTCAAGTCAACAAGATTAAAATATACCTCCTGTCCTTTTGCCTATAACATTTTTATTTTGTCAACTTGAGCTTTCAATGAAATGAATTATTTTCCTTGCTAGATTATGAGTCAAAAAATGGGTTTTTTTAAAAAAAAAAATTAGCTATCTTTAGATGATTCATAATGACTAATTATTGAGGAGAAGAAACCTAATAATTTGTTCATGAAGTTTATCGATGCTTATTTCTGAAGTAAGACTAAAGTATCTAAGAAAATGAATATAAGATATAAGCTTAAATTAGGTAAGTCCGACGTTCAACCCTTATTTGGTGAGCACCTCTCGACATAGACCATTTCGTGGGCAGAAAGACGAGCTACTCCGAGCCTCGCTCTCTTGATGGCACGGTCTTTTTTATTATTATTATTTTTTTTATTTTAAAAAATTTGCTAAAAAAATTAAAGAAAAAATTTTGTTGGACCCACTAAGCCACAATTAGTTGGCTGATGGGTCTGATGTTTAGTTTGTCTGATAATAAGGGAACAAGTTACACAAATAATGTGGGCGTGTAATGGCCCTTGATAATTATTTTTTCAACTCTTCTTCTCACGACAATTTGCTATTGTCTGAATCACTACAGAGGAAGATATGGATAATTACAAGTTTTCAGATGTACGATAAATGAATGGTAACCAAGAATGTTTTTTTTTCTTATAGTCCTCTATGTTTAATATTAGTGGGCACGAAGTCGAGCCAAACTATTACTAACCGACGCTTTTGTTCTCAAAAATCCTACTTTTTTTAAGTCTCGAAAAAAGTTGCTTGCATCATATTATCAAATAATGCATGTCGATTGGCATTCTTCCTTCCTCACCTGCCTTGTCACTACAAAAGGTAAAGAGGATGTCGAAAGGTGGGTCGTGATGGGAAAGAGAAAGACGAGGAATGAGGAAGACTGGCCACTAGAGAGGGCAAAATTCCGTGCACAGCATTGTCCCTACACGAATGAGATGGTGATTTCCCTGCCNTGCACAGCATTGTCCCTACACGAATGAGATGGTGATTTCCCTGCCTGAATTCCTCAAATCCATCCCCATTCCCGAATTTTTTTTATATATTTTTTTTCAATTTAAATTAAATTTATAAACTATATTAAAATTAATTAATTAAATGGGATGGTAAATAAGATTTTTTTATTTTTATAATTTGGGTCGGTCCTATTATCTCCTCCCTTCCCGAAAATTCCCAATGTGTGGGGATGGCAACGGAGAAAGGGTGGCTGGGACACGGATTTCTCGAAAGTTGGGAAGAGAAAGAGGGGAAAAGATTAGACGGGGCATGGCGAAAGTGATTTATTTCTTCTTCCTTTTTATTTTACCAAAAATTATTCAATATGCTTTTAAAACAATGTATCATATTCAAATGAAAGGCATGAGATGTTTGAATCAAGGTTTTAAAATGCGTAATACATGACAATGCGTTTTAGTTGAGCATCAAATATTACAAGTACATGTGTGCCAATGCAAAAAAATATGTATAATTATGCGTTTTTAATTTTAAAAATTATTTTAAACGGATAGATAAATAAATAAATATTACATTATTTGAACTATATACATATTCTGGAAATTCAAAAAATAACTTATTTTGATTGTTCTAAACATTAAAACTCTACAGATTGCTATATATAATTTATGGACCTAGGTGATTTGGGTAATTTGATATTTGTTGGACCCAAATTGCTTCTTTTTTTTTTTTAAGTAATAAAAATGTGCTGAACTTTGCTAGGGTAATCTGGAGAAAATTTTTACCACAAACACGTGCGTATTTTGATATTTAAACGCGCACATGCGGTCAACGAAATGTGTTGACCGTATTATCACGAGCATGCCTCTTATTCAGGGTGTTTCGAAAATGTCCGGAGCATATGTGCACAT